CTGTAACGATATGATGGCTATTTATCCCGCTGTACTCTAAATTCTACCAATTTCTGTGCTAGAGATTGCATGTGGGACGACCATTGAAGCCATCCAAGTGCAACTTATCCAGCTTGAGATAATATGTGGTATGTTATAACGAAACCATTTCCAGTTCCAGAGAATTGTGTGGACGTTGATTATCGCCCATAGTCAGGAGTCTACTGCAGTGTTTTGTTAAATGATTTGATAGCTACTGTTGAAGAGATTTTTGTGTTAAATACTTTTGAATTCATTTAATTACGCATGTAAATAGTACCTAGTCAGGTTTCTTTTTATAATTCCTGAAATTTGCGTTTATTTATTTAATATGTTATTACTGAATATAGTAAAGATGTCAGCATGAAATGCTATTAATAAACAAACTCTGTATTACATAGTTATATAACCCACATCAGCCGTTAGTAGTGGGTTTTTTGTGACAGGTGTACTCCGTGTACCTTTGTCTGATTTAATTTTAGAATGATAAACATTTTGCATGATATGTAACTGATGATCTGTCATCAACTCGCTCGCACTTCCATAATGGTCTACGAACGCTTTGTAAGTGACCGCAACAGATCATATATACAACATACAACAGGTCCACACGATCTTCTGTTGTCCGTGACAAATCTCTTTCAATGTTTGTTACAAATTCAGTATGACAATACATGGTAGTAACCATACGATATATTTATATTGATAAAGGTACTTGTTCCCAAAGTATTAAGGACGACAGCTTTGTCACGACTCCTACATCTAAATCCTTGTCTCAATGTCGTGTCTCTGGCCGATTTTCTTGTAGTTTCTGTCATTATTCACAAAGATTATCATGCAGACAATTGATGTTGTAGTGAGAAAACCAACAGCAGGAGTAACTAGACATGAAGGAATAACGTTAAATTAACAACAAGAAAATACCAATATATCATCATAACCATAATCCAAACTCAAATTCAATTAAACTTGGGCAAAAGAGGAATAAAAAGAAAACAAAGATCCTGAAAAAGTACAAAGATAGTTAGACTATGTGCTCCGGAAGAGTAAGCGTCTGCCGCTTCATCGGCGAAACCAGCCATGTAAACCTTGGTCAATCCAAGTAGGTAAAGACATCATATCAAATGAGAACAAGACATACAGCAATGGAACCAACAGACAAACTAACCAGCATCAAACGTGTCAAACCTCATGTCTCACAAAGGAATAGAAGATATCTCAACGGGATCCATATAACGACCATGAAACTTCCTCATCATTGTAATCAACTTGCATCTGATGAAACCAGCTGTTTCGAGTTTGTCCTTCAGTAAGTTGTTCTTACACGAAAATCGTGATAATGAGAAGCACGATTCGGGTATATTGAAGAGATAAATGTTGGATCGGGATAATAGTTTTGTGTGGAAATTTTGGTAAGAACACATATATTAAAAAGATATTGACGTCATTAAAATCATTTAAAATGCACGTGTCCGCTAGTAGCATACTTTGTATTGCAAGATTAATTTTGAACATGATAAATATGTTAAATAAGGTAATGCCATTTCGTGTTAAATCCTCTTTATGAAGAAAGACTGCAATCATGATGTTCTTGTTCTAAACCATCCCATTTTTATTACAGGTTGGCCTAGTAATAAATAAACAAATCTGAAAACATGGTCAACGGAAATTTACAAAACATGATGAATAAAACGGTCCTGACAACACAAAATTAACCATCGCAAACGCAAAATGTACATCAAGATTTCTCATAACTTTCAGATATTAAATAATATTTCAAAATGAAAACGATCAATGATGTTATTACATGAAATATGTATATGTGTGAGGTATGTAGAATATGGTCGCACCGAATGAACAATGCCACAGCCCGTACATTCAATATCATGTCTTCTTGTTAACCATCATCAACCCCTATATTACACACGCTGGTGACAGATATGACTTGCCTCTATTCATGTATACAACAATGACAGCGTTTACTCTAACAAAAGATGCGGGTGATGCCACATTGGTAACACAGATATTGTTTTACTGCCGCGCAGGGCAGCTTAGTTCACTGAACTAAATTAGAAAGTGACTCCCTCAATCCTGTATATGCTATAAAATTATCTGCTGCTACATTATGAATATTTTTGATTGCTAAATTCTGTTTAAGCTGGTGTTTGTTGTCTTTTATATTTCATTTTGTATTTGTGATATCCTATCGGAAAAAGAACATTTCTGAAGTGGCAGGGTCAGAACATAGGTTTAGGTATATGGAACACCACATAAATTCTTATCTCTGATGAGGCAGGGTCAGAACATAGGTTTAGGTATATGGAACACCACATGAATTCTTAGCTCTGAAGTGGCAGGGTCAGAACATAGGTTTAGGTATATTAAACACCTCATGAATTCTTAGCTCTGAAGTGGCAGGGTCAGAACATAGGTTTAGGTATATGGAACACCACATAAATTCTTATCTCTGATGACGCAGGGTCAGAAAATAGGTTTAGGTATATTAAACACCCCATGAATTCTTAGCTCTGAAGTGGCAGGGTCAGAACATAGGTTTAGGTATATAGAACTCCACATGAATTCTTAGCTTTGATGAGGCAGGGTCAGAACATAGGTTTAGTTGTACAGGATACCATATACAATACAATATTTCTAGTAAAGTATCGAGAGCTGAAACGATGTCTGATGTAACTCTGTGCGATCCATAATAACACAGTATTTATGTAAACTTCATAGCTAGCTTCAAAATGTCCATGATGATATACAGATATATATATCAGAATTAACTGTCACAAGATTATCTTCATAATATCATTTACAATGACTGATGTTAGTCAAGCAACTAATGGTAATGAGGCTGTTTCAACATTGACCGCTTTCCACCAAGCTGTGATTGTTTCATTCCATTCATCCCCAACTTATGATGTTTACTTGACGTTGTTGTTTTTGATATCCAAGGACCCGTGTCAAATGAAGTTGAACGCTATCGAAGCTCATCAATACGCTGGTGGTTTCATTGTTAGAGACCTTGTTCGCATTTGAGAACGTGACATTATTTACATGGATTGAACAAGATTTAAATGGTGTTATCGATGAAGCATAAGACGCTTACTTTTCCGTAACACCTGGTCTTATACTTGTAATTGTTTTAATTGTTTAAATCTTTATTTTGTTCGTATTTTCCCTGTTTTTTTTAAATTTTAGTTTGAAATAAGATTCTATTAACATGTCGGTATTTGTTGCTTTTTCACAATATAGTTTATGCGATCTTATTCATCAATTTTTAAAATTCCTTTTTTGTGTTTCTTTAAATGTTAAAGTGGTGGTAAATATAATCATGTTTCTTCCCACAAAACATAAAATGATTTCGATATATGTCAGCTTTCAAGCTCTTTGAAACGGTCGATTGGCGTATCTTCTAAGGCGAAATGCTTGTCATTATATTGACAAGATCAAAGAATAAAACCGGTTATTTTCGTAACAAATGTACAAAATATGACATCTGGTTTTCTAAAATTGCAAAAGATGTCTGTTAGAGATAGAAACGACGCTGCGTTGTCACGATATTATCACGGTCAATACTTTCCTCTGTATAATTACAATGCGAAAAAAGCCTACATGTAATTATTCTATGTTCATTCACCTCATAACCTAGATTTTGTAGATGAGTCTATTCTTGGATTAATTAAAATATCTAACATATTGCTTCAATATCAATTCAGTAGTTGTGAGACAATTTCATATCCCGTAATATTAGAAGTGGCATAAACGTTACTAATGAAGTGCGACCACACAGGATTTAGAGTGAAAACCAGATCTGGATTGATTAGATTGATATTTGTTTACATGACAATAAAATTACAAACATACTGCTACGTTTTATAGACGCATCAACGTAGTAATCATGTATTGATAACTAACGTTAATCTGAGAAATCTAAAAGACTTTGACTATAATTTGAATTAATGACAAAGAACTGATCGCCATGTTATATGTGAACTCAAAGACATGACTGGTATACGACTGCTTCTTGCGTCTTTCTCAAACCATCAGTGCGATATATGTTGACAGACTTCAAAAGCATGAGACGTTTTATCATTAATAACAAATGATGAAATAAAAGTCGTTAAATGTTATTTGATTTGAATTTCATTCTCAATTGTCTGATTGACATCTCTCGATTCACATTAAAAAGAGATTGTCACAACCTACCTAACGTCTCCCGTGTCAGAATTTTTCTGTCAAATCTTTTTCGCAAAACGACCTACACTTCCTGCATCAGTGACATGTTTTCAAATATTATTCAACCTCAACATAATCCGCTGGGGGTTCACCCCACATAACGTTTCAAAGTTTCAAAAATACTAGAAACTGCATTCATGAGATATCAAAATCGGTGATATCGATTTTAATTTGTTTAATGATACGTTATTTGCAGTTGTACTAGAATATAATCACAATGTGTCAGGGTACACAGGTGATTCATCACGGCTAGACAAAACGTAGAGGTAACCGTACTTTTTTCATTGATATATGCTTCAATTCTTGGTGGAGCGGGCATATCGATAAACTGATATAGTGTCATGCTACGGTGAATCATAAAAATGTTTAACTCGAAAGTGAAATATGCTGCAATTTTTTTTGAGGATTGATCAATTTCACTAATTTAGAGGACAAAATTTTCATTACTTCCTTGAAAAATTTGTTTCTTTTTTTTCTTCAGACTGTTAATAAATCTAAATATTTCACCAATCGAAAAAAAAAGATATTAGATAAAACTTTTAGCAATTGCATAATGGAATGAGTTTTCAGGATTATTTCTAAAACATATATTTTTAAGTGTTGTTTACCCTTTTTATTCAATATATGTAAAAGTTACAACCACCAATGCTACGTTTCCATTGTAATTTCTATATACATCATCATAAAAGAAATGATGGTGTCGTTACTATTCTCAAAACAATATATATTTCTTTCCGCAGATCGTCAAGATGCTGGTTATCGTTGTTGCCGTGTTTGGAGTTTGCTGGCTTCCAATCCATGTGTTTGTCATCGTCATGGACTTTTACCCTAGTGTGTTTGCACAGGGGGACCAAATGTTCACCATGGCCGTGTTTCTGTGTGTTCATTGGCTGGCAATGTCCAACAGCTTTGCAAATCCAGTCATATATGGGTTTACGAATGAAAGTTTTAGGGTAAGTTATTATATAGTTATTTAAAGAAAATTGTAATATATGAACGTATTTTTACCAAAACAGCTGGATTTTCTTGCGTCGGTAGCCATATTGAACACCTCAACTATATATGGAAGTTTGTATAACCTCCGCATCGCGGCAGTTTAAGGCTTGAATAACCTTCAGTTCATATGTATGCCAAATTACAAATGCTGCAAATATATATCGTTCATACTTTTCGGACTCATATTGTCAAATCATAACTACATATATTTACTCTCCTGCAATCTATTTATTTCTATTCGCTGTACAAAATATCCATTAATTGAGCTATTGAATGTTAACTGTCTAGATCAATAGTCAGTTGGCCGTTTAATGACACTTGATTTCTAAAGAAGAATCGTTCCTATTCACCTACATCTGAAAGTACAAAATCCGTTCGCTTTCTGAAATTATTCCATAATGAAAAAAAAAACCAAACTCTTACATCGCTAATCAGGCGCATAAAAGACGATTTTCCACCAATATACTTGCAGTGAACTGAGTGCAGACAGCCTCTTATGAAATAATAGATGGTGGTAGGATTAAAGTGATGGGAACGTGGACCATTTAGTGTAAATATTTAAACAGTGTTGACTATAACATATGCAGCACTCGGGTTTATGTTATCTATCAGGATAAAGATCGACATTTAAAGTCTGCTCGTTTGTAATATGAAGACAGTTTATAATGTTGTTATAAAGCTTTGGAACAGGTGCCACCTACAGTCACCTATCAAACCTAACAAATTACATTGCAGTACTAACGCATCCCTGTCGGTAAAATTTTCATGTGTAACAAGAAAACAGATGGACAGCCTCTGGTGTAGCGGATCGTTTGATAAAAGATATATAAAAAAAATAATGTCTAAATGAATTTTATCGTGATTATCCGATTTTTCTTATCTTCTGTTAGTTGAAATTTCACGCAAAGCAGATATTTTAAGTTCAGTAAGTGTTAAGTAGATGATGATATAGCTGATAATATGATGTGAATGTTTAAACAAGATGAGAAGGAGGAAGAACAGGGTGATAATGAATTGCGTTTCAAATTAATACCATGTGCCTTTATACCACCTCATTCACAAAATTCAGAATTATCGTCAATGAAGTGGTTATGAATGGAAGTGTAAATGGGATTTCACACCGAGAAACATGTTTAGATTAATTGGTATGGTCTTGTTGATATACAATCAATGACTATTCTCTCCTTGTGTAAGAATAATTAAACTATCAAAATTTAGATTCTGCATTACAAGTGTTAAACATTACAGATCCTGTATCACAAGTGTATAAATATCAAACAGTGATTCTAGAGTGTTCAAAAATGTAACATTCTATTTTTTTTTGTGTCATATGAAGCTTGAAATGTTAGATGCTCGCTGGTTCACATGTCGGTTCCGTTGTAGAGAACGTGACATTACTTACTGGGATTGACCAAGGCTTACATATGGCGCGTGTCGTCGATGAAGTAGAAGACGTTTACTCGTCAGTTATTTTCCTTCTACTTTTTCGGGAGTCTGTGTAAATCTTTCTTTTGCTCATATTTGCCTTAGTTTTATTTAATTTGAGTTTTGATTACGATTACGTTGACATGTAGGTATTTTTTCATGACAGATGCGTAAGTATCACAAATAAGCATTAGAAACATAATACATGAGTTCTACTTTACAAATATGTAAATATAAAAAACAGTATATATTAGAATGTAACGAGTATAGAAATAACATATTGTAGATGTACATTTTGTATGTCGACATTAAACTAATTTTGGAAGGGAAATGCGTTCTTCACAGTAACTACATAGTTATCTATTCTGCAAATATCTTGATGTTATGTGAAATCTGATATCAAACATTGTAATATTCGTTGTGTTCAAACTATTATTAGTCAGGCTAACGCTATAAAAAAGAAGCAATTATCTCTACGGGAAATAGGGACTGAAATGTTTACTATTTATAGTTAAAACGCACTGAAAACGATACTTTCGTGTCTTCCATTTTGCAGATAAAGTCTTGTTTATCCTTAAATGACGTCCGGGACATGCCACTACCATAGGAATGTGTCACGCGCAAGGAATGATTCCTTGTTCTCCATGTTACTATAAATGGAATCGTGTTAATGACACACAGTGATATGCTTCTATTAACAGACTGTTGTCTGTAAAATGCTTCAGCGTTATTGTTCGTAGATTAAAAGATCGTTTTCTCTGCTTAGGACATTTCAGCTAAATTGAGAGTCGTTTAGGAAATTATTTAGCATGATACAAAAATGACATAGTCTAATGCAGATATGTGTAAATCAAAGAAACGGAGATGACCGCTTCATTGCTTTGTGTATAGAATAATGCTATAGAATGGTTCCTACTTCAAACATATTGGTTCATCTCTGGCGTTTTGGTCTAAATATGTTTGTTTATTTGATTGATTACTCCCACACAACAGCATACGATTTTATAGCACTATCACACCGAAATGTCATAACATGGAGACGTTATCGTGTCAAATCGTCCGGTCACATCATAATGATACGCTGTATAATCATAATGCATCCTTTACACTGCTGAGCCACTAGTACCGAACACGGAGTATTATCATTATTTTGGTAAGTCCCGCAATTGATTTAGAACCGCTTCTCTTTATGCCTTGGGCGGACGCTCAGACAAAATATCAAAAATGAGGTAATGTCTAGAGAGATAAGAAAGAGACGGGCTTTTAAAAAGATGCAAAAGATACCATATGGTATTGTATATTGCGATCAACTGTGAAGCATGGTGTAGGCTTACGGGTTTTGGACATTGCAGAAAATTTCATTGTGTGCCTAAAAGTCTGGTATGTTTTTGTTGCGAAACACAGATTTGTACATTGTTGAATATTTCTTTTTTTCGGAATATTTTGTTGCATTGCTTACAGGTAGAAAATTGTTCTAAATTGGTGCTGTTTTGTTCCTTTTGGACAAATTTGTACTTTATATGTACCCTTTTACATTTTTTTTCGCGCAGGACAGTTTTGTTACATTAAATTACGTGTCGAACAGTCGGTTGCTTTGTTTGTTCGCGTCGACAATATGGTTCATTGAATATGCTATAGATATATGAACCAGTTCCTTTGTAGAGTTTCAAAATGATAAGTTAATAAGATTAAGAGTCACCTGAACGTCACACTCAAATTTTCCACTGGCTGTGTTAAAAGACCTGCTATTCTATTGTTATTACTAACACGAAGAAAATGTTCCGAAATACGAAGATGATCTGAAAAAGAAACTACCTCCCTTGTAATTCCTTTGCATCATGATGTTTCAACGGCCTTGGTACGGTAACTACTAATCATACACTCCAGTCAAATTGCCAATAATACAACACTCTATGCCATTCCTCTGGGTAAAATCGGACATCATCACGCGATACTTAAAAGTCGCTGCTTAATATCTGTTTTTACTGTAATTAGACTGTGTTTAAAACGTAAACAATCACGACGCACGAAATTAAGCTTCTGCTGCTGCAGTGTAATGACTGTCTAAATTATTCAGAATATCACTATAAAGTTAATAAATAACAGTTGTGATAAAAACCACATGAACATGCTTCAAATGGAACGACCGCCAGCGTACACTGAGTGAATTTTATAAAACATTTGTTTTTCCTTGCGTAATATTTGCACACAAATCACGGATATATGAAATATATTGTAAACATCTTCTGTTCCGTTAGATAAAGAACTGAAGTGATGGAGTTTAAATTGACTTATATTCATAAAATGTGCACATTTCGCATCATACATTACGAACTGCTCTAAAAGTGTTAAGCATCTATAGTTCATTAGGTTTCTTTAGAATAAGTAGAGATGAATCTGTGGATACGGTTACTCTTCATAATTAACAAGTTAAGAGGATGCCATATACCTGTTTAGAGACAACTGTAATAACTCTATGAATAAGGAAACACCATGCATATTAAGGAACATCAAACATGCCCTACCTTATAACGCACAAGAAAATAGAATATTCCCCGATCGCAATGACAACCAAAGCTAAAAGGATGAGCATGATTACTACAAATTTATTATGTTCATTTATCATTTATCGTATGTTTAATTTCCTTTTAACAACCATATTATTTCATACTTATCACGTCCTTTTTTGTAGGCTGACCTTGCCACACTATTCTATATGTGGATGCCATGCTGCGGATGTCTGAAACACGCCATGCCACGGCTAAGCAGTTCGTGCACGAACGAAACTGTCATCCTTCGACGCCAGAGCACTGTCATTAATAGCAAATGGAACACGAACACGTGCCGATTGTCGTCTACCTCAAAAACACGTTTGCAAAAATTTGCTCAAACCACTTACGACAACAAGCGTTTCCTTGAACCTGTACAAAGCAGTAGGGAATGTTCGGCTTGTTCTGGTGGTTCATCGGATGAGTGAACTTCGGATGTGAGTGGATGGTTTTCATTTGGAACATACAAGTATATCAGTACCATCTCATTTGAAAGAGTAGTTCTTATTAGTTATTGGTTCTTACCTGCCTTTTTGAAGATGTTTGCAAGAAAACATTAACTTTCTCTTGGAACCGACAACAAAATGAAACAGGTACGCACTATTATTATATATGGTATATATATGAATTTTAACTTGAAACTTTCACCAAAGGTTTTTTTTTAAATCAAATGTTCCTGTTGGTTCGCTGAATTAAATCCAAATCTATGAACATGTACGATGATAATAACTGTAATGACTGTAATACTAGGTATATCAACTTTCTTAAACGTGATGATCTTTTATAAATGTATTCCCTGTTAGAGTAACCTATCTAGCTAAGAGCATAGTCTTAAGGTATTACCAGGCAAGCAGTTAACGGCAGTTTTATTTCTAAAGCAGTTACATTCCTTGCACATCACCAAATTTCCACATTGTCATAATGTACATCGAGTTCAGAAGATTTAAATTTAAAATCTGGGTTTAAAACAGACCTGGATAGTGACCTGTACTGAAAACAACCCCGAATAATGATCTATATCCAAAACACACCCGGACAGTGACCATTACTAAGAACAAGCCAGCATAGTGACCTATTCTAAAACCACACACGGACAGTGACTTGTAGGCAAAACAAACGATATAAGGATAGTGACATGTTTTCAAAAGCAACCAGGAGAGTGACATTTCATAAACAATACCTTTATAGTTTCATGTTCTCAAATGGTGCCAGGATAGTGGCGTGTTCTCCAACGATACAAGAATAGTGACATGTTCCCATGATACAAAAATATTGACATGTTCACAAAAAAGACGAGGATAGTGACATGTTCCCAAATGAGACGAGGATGGCGATATGTTCTCAAAAGTGACTAGGATAGCTAAATGGTCTCAAAAAGGTCTGGGTGTTCTCAAAAGATATCAAGGTAGTGATATAAAATTTAAAACAAATTTGATTTGTAATAGGTAATTAAGATAAATAATATCACACGATATGTTAAGGGTAGGTGTAGGAGATAATTATATAGTCATGTTCTTGTTACTGATCACGTGTTTAGATAAACTACGATCACTTGTTATCGATCATATGCTAATTTTCTTTCTTTTTTTCAGACGGCCAAGGACAGGATGATCGGCATTAGTTAATCATACTTATGTAATGACCTATACCACTCGCGAGACCAAGATCAAGGTCGTCATTACATCACATTTGTTTATATTTGCAATATATCACCCTATCCCTGTCTCCTAGCTCTGCCGTTTGGAAGGAGATCAGACATGTAGAGTGAGATGATGCGTCTGTGATACCTATCCGAATATTATTGGAAGATGTTTGTTGAAGGGACTCGATATATCTGCAGAGCCCCTCGGTGATGATGGGTTAATAGATATCCCTGACGTCATAAACGAGCTGGTTTGCTGAGACACAAAATTAATCATAGCCCTTATTACTTTTCATTTTGTCGATACATTAATGCTGACTTGTTAGTCGGTACCCCATCGTTCATGATTAATTTCTGATGAAATTTTAGCAGTCATAACTGATGTACGCTGGTCATTGTTGTAAGACGCTGTATCGATCCCCAAGGATACGCTTGTCTACCAAACCGGGGAATCACATGAACTGTATGAAAAACGAGCAGTAATCAATCAACTCTTCATAAGTATAGGTATGACAGCGCTATCTATCTGGGCCTTGAATCGCCCACCATGATGAAATAACGACCGACCCAGCACCAACGTAGGCTGCTAACGAGCACTATTTCCCGGGTGACTTGACCCTGTGTCATTCCGCGTGTAAAAGTAGTCCCCGGTCGTGAGTAAACGTGCTACGATAGAGAGCAGACCATACGAGATTGGTTTAGTCTGTATTGTCATTATTAAAGCTGTCGATGACAATCTTTTCTGATGAATATGTTAGAGATGTCCGTCTATGGAGCATGTCGGCAACATTTGACGGTGACATTAACTTATATTACGTACCATTCAATCATATCTCGAATCAACTGTTATTTTGTTTCTGATTTCTTTTTTTCTAATAAAGATGTAATTGTGATACATTACTTTGCTTGTGACGTTTTCTTTCCGATAATGTGTTGATTTTGTCTATACATTAATGCAAGGTAAGGGTTAACAATAACGGCATAAAAAGACATGCTAATGACCATTGAACGTGATACATATAAGACATTCACAATTTCTTAAGTAGATGAAATGTTAAGAGTGATGACAATGCTAGCCATCTTCTAAATAACGTAATTCATTTTAATCGTAGCTGAAAAAGGAATACAATTTTAAAAGGAATTAAATACATAGACTTCAAATGCAAAATATCTTTCTAATACCGTAAAATAAACATTCGTTCTGGACAAATGAAGCGCCAATATATCCTTTTGTTGTAAGTACGAATGACCTTAAGTAACGAAGACTCACTAGCTTGTGGTGGAAACCATCTAGGAAGAATTGTTTATGATTTAATCATTTGTTTGACAGAAGATGACTTAATGGTAATGGAATAATTTCCCTTGAGCTGTCAATTGTATATATGATTCCATGAACACGGTAAACGTTAGACGAGCAATAGACACGGGCCGAAGGGTTTCTCACAATACGAACTTTCTCCTACTTCAATTTCAGATTTAAGTCCCTCTACATGTACATTATTCTTTCTAACTTAAATCATTGTACTATTCTTTACGGTTGATTTGTCAAAGAAAACATTCCTTTTTCATGAACTATACAATATAACAAAAATATGTGGCTGATATTTTCATAGTATTCATATATAAATAAGAAACACATATGATGAAAATATTACTGCTTAACAAGGTGAGAAAAGTCAGGGTTTATGAAAATGTACATAATGCTATCATATCAGATCAAAACAACACTATTTTAAAATCTAGTTGTAATGCAATGCTACGTCCTGCTCCATGGCTGCCAAACCCAATATGAAATGCTTGCAATAACATTTACAGAGCGAGACTTACCATATCTTACCTGGGTCACTAGCACTGCACCTATCTAGTTAAAGTACAGTTTCAAAATGTATGTAGGTATGAAATAGCCTCACAGTCATGAATTTATGCAAGCTTGCAACAATTTAGATAACGGAATCTGTGGTTTTTCTTACATCCTTTAAAAATCCTACTGATATGCAGAAGTTATTTCATAACTAAATAAAAACGTGAGTTGTATCCATCCCGACAAATTGGGATTTGCCTTGTAAGACCACCCACCGGCGTTTTGATGTAGTATGGACTTATTTTCCAATGAAAATTAAACTTAATCAGTAGCAATCACTGGGCGTTTCGATAGCTGGTGTGAATCCTTTCATACTAGCATACCATTGATAGCGGGGAGTAATTCTCCAGTATCACTTTCTATGGATACGAGTGTTGATTAAATAGCTTTTTCCAGCAACACGGATAATATTTTGAAATAAGGAGTCATTATGAAAAAATAATTCCGTTAATGCAGGTCAGATAGCAGGTGCTGTGTGAAAGTATCATGTTTACTTACACCTTTCCCGCGTACCAGACAACCTTAACACGAAGAAATTTGTAGTAACATTTGATAACTTAATAACCTGTAGTAATGTTCCATGTATTCTAAAATGCTATCTCGGAGTAATGATTTGTCATAGTCTAATTAAACTCGCAGTTATTGAAAGCACCCCTGTGGTAAAATATGTACATGTACAAGATAAGTATGATGTGTAGTTGTAGTAATGAATTGCGTGACAGAAGGAAACATCAGGGACCTCGTGTATAACAAGGAATAGCCTTATTTGGAATTATGAACATTTCCTTTTCTGAGCAGTGATTACAAATTACTGACATTTCCCCCAATATTTGTTTTAAACTGCATAGAATTGAATACGACAAAACACTGGTTTTATGCCAGTGTCTGAGTTAATGCAGATAAAGAAAAAGAAAGGCAAGTACACCTAATGCATTATAATGTATTACATCTACAAATTCATTCCTCTATACAAATGTACTGACCTTTCATACTACCCACAAGTAAAAGAAACACGGTCCATGGTCACACATTGCTTTACACACTGGTACATATAAATACAAATCCACAATCTCATTTATCATATATTCAGTAGGATGAATTAATTATTGAAATAAACTTGAAACAACTGACAGATTTATTGATAAATACACATGTTCAACAATGTTTAGAGGATACGTACCTGAGATATAGCTTATGAATAAGATTCACCGGTGCTGTTAGACCGAAAGTGTTGAGACCCAGGAGTCTTGTACAAAACAAAATTGTCCGAATTCAATGATCTTTATGTCTAAGATAACAAAAGCAATGCTATTTTATACTTAAAACAAAAATATTGCTATACATTTTCATACTTACTTTGAACTTTGGTGAAAGTACACACACATATGAGGTTGCTACAAGTAAGTTGATTACCTTGCCCTCACATCTATTATATTCCTGAACAGCATTGTCCCATCTGATGAGTCAACATGCATCGATAGATCTATAGAAGTGTATGTGGTTGCTAATAGTGTTTACTAGCACAAAAGGTGCGAAGACAGCGTTTGCCTCGCTAACATTGCTATTTCTTGTAAGTTCATAGCACTTATTTGATGAACAATTATAACTCTTCAACATCCTTATTTTGAGCACCCAATTTATCTGAAGATCGTCAAAAACGACGATTAACCAAGTTAAAGACAATATCAGTAATCGACAGAAAAGACTAAAATGAGTAAAATGGAGTAAGAGAAGTATGACTAATTCGAAAGCTAACATGTATGCCGTTTTCTAGTATAGTATGTAGTCCATTACAAAATATTCAGCATAAGATCGACTTGTAACTTACACCTAAAATAGTATTTCGAGACTGCATGTCAATGGAAATTTACCAATCATTTGAAATCAATGCATGGGATCTTAGAGTCACGTGATATGAACAAGGATGCTGACATTGCAACATTTGTCCTACTGTCACCACTGCAGTTTCTCATATGACATATACATCCAGATGTCCAATTTGTTTGTTGTTACTGCAGCAAGTATAAAAACACAAATAATAAGGATACGATAGTATCAATAACAAATAAAATATCAAAGTAAATGGAAAGGCAACATGAAACATAACGCGATCATTAGGGCATGATCATTTAATTAATCAAACATGAATGAACTCGACGTGAGGAGTAAGATAATATAAAACAATATCATTAAAACAACCATTCAATGAAATAAGCAATAGTAGAAGCATAAAATTGACGTAAGTTAGTAATAGAAAGGCTATTAGCAGTAACACAAACATTAATTTGATGTTAATAAATACACAAGCATTATATCGATATTACTAATTACACAAAAATTAAAACGATATAAATGAATACACAAGCGTTAAATCGATATAAGAAATAACACAAGTATTTAATTTATAAGTATAAATACATAAAAATTATATCGATAAATCGATGTCAATAATTACACAAGTATCACATCGATAACAATTATTATACAAGAATTAACTCAATATTGATAATAACACAAGGGTTAAATCGATATAGATAATTAAAAAAAGCCTAAAATCGATATTTTTATTAATATTTACACAAACGTTAAATCGATATTGATAATTTCACAAACATTAAATTGATATTTATCATTACGCAAGCTTAATTCGACGTAAGCAACATCTTATTCTATAATCCAAAAATAGCATTGGAAAAGACACCTGATGAAAACTCTATGATTATCAAATGTATGTCTTATACTGAAATTAACATGTAGCTACGTAGGTGGTGTACTGTGATCTTTTGTTCGGATACATTACTCCATTGTTGGAATTCGGTCAATATTTGGTTAATTAAAGTATCATCCAATGTAACACACGATATGTGATATCAATAAAGATATGTTGTCATAGTGCATTCGCTTTGTGACATCCTGGTTTTCTATCGTTTTTCACCAAAAATCAATATTGTTTTTGAGATTAATTCTTCCGAAAAAAGGAAATGCTTACTTTGATATCGATGCATGTATTAGTTTGCATTAAAAAAATCCTGAATTCATATGCTGAAATGAAGCAGAAGTATTGAATCGGGACTTCATTGTTCTAAATTCTTTAGTTTTGGTAATCTCTGTGCGTCAATAAATCAATTCTTCACAAGACTTGTATTATTTATAATAAACTCGCCATAAGCAGTAGCGAGAGATGTCGTCTTTGGATGTCCGAGTTCAAACCATGTACAATTGTATACTAATGAAACACAGCATTTCTGGAAGCAGGACACAAAACCCTAATACTAATCCCGAAAGATAGACGATCTTCAAAACAAACTCTTATCAAACAGTTTGTAGCTCCACCGGGACGTTTGATGCGGATGACAAATTGAGATGATTTTATGTCGAAAAGTCACGCTGTAGGTTATGGGCGAGATAAACATGGTTTTGCTGTTGATTAATTGTATTTTCGACATGCATATATTCATTATCAAAGGATAAAGAATAAAGCCAGTGACAACCACGTTTACATATTTTCCCCAAGGGGACAACATAGACTGAGACACGGAGCAGATGCCACGTACTAAAACAAAGGTCAACAACTCCAGTGCTCCTTGAGACGCCAAAATGCTTCGGAATTGGTGATACATGCACCATGGAGAACACTGGGGCATGATTTTGATAACGACTATCAATATAATGGAAAACTATATGAATGCAATGAATACAATTCAGTTACATATGTAACCTTATTCTAATATCCATCACATTAGGAAAGATATATTGAATTATTAACATGAAGATTGAAACAAATCTGCCCTGTAGGTGAATATAAGGTTGTTTGTATCATATCGCCAAGTAAGGGATAGGGGTAATGGAAATGTGTATTACAGACTTGAAGATATTGGAATTTCTTCATAAACAGAAAGTACATGCACCTCAGGAGAGGGATTAAATTTCAATAGGATTCTACCAGCTTTTCTATGTCTTATACATACTAATTATTT